CCTGTCCCACCCTGGGGCTGTCATTCCACTTGTGGCCCTGTCATTCCAGTTCCTGAAAACTCCTGGCACACCCTGGGGCTGTCATTCAACTCCATGGCCTGTCATTCCAGTCCCTGAACACTCCTGCTCCACGGGTGTCCTCTTATTCCTTACTTCTACTGTTATCAGTGGGCAGCAGTTCCGGAGGAGCCAATGAGTGAGCTAAGAAAAAGAGATAGCTTTTATATCCCAGAACAAAGTTTGAGTCTAGTGGGGAAGGAGGAAACGTGGGAGTACAAACTTGAGAAAACACTCAAATCAGAGACAACGCATTGTTCCTGTGGTGAGAGCACTGATGCTATTGCACCACACAGCTTGGGTGACATTCCTGTCCAAATTCAGTATCGGAGAGGAGCCGTCCCTTCTGCATGCACCTGGTCTCTGAGTCAAATCACAAGACCTCAGCAACCAAAGCAAAGCTCTACCTGAGGCCACTGTCAGTAGAAAACAGCCAGCTGAACCAGAGGTTTGGCTGGGCCAGACTTGTAAGGTTTTCCAAAGCTATAATATCCTTTTTGAGACAAGCAAGAACATATTTTGGGTGGGTGGGTGATAAGTTTAGGTCCCCTTCTCCACCAACACAGCCAGAATAGCCAGCCAGACATAACACACACACACACACACAGAGAGAGAGAGAGAGAGAGAGAGAGAGAGATTTGCTCCAGAGTAAGCCTGCACAGCATCAAATAACATTAAAAATAAACCCATGTTAGTAATATTTTTTTCAGTATTATGCTAACACAGAAGGGGGGGTTGTGTTTTAAACACTGAAAACAAATCCAACTGTTTTTCACTATTCCACTAACTTAGAAGGGGGGATGGGGGAAAGTTATCTTTTAAACAAAGGCACAATAAAGAACTGTAACAGAGAGAGCCAGCACAGTGACCATCACCCTTCGTGCCTTTGATCAGAGTTGGCTACGTGAAAGGCAGGCACAAAGAGCCTTAGACAGCCAGGTGGGTTTTTTTCCCATTAGGAGGTATTTACATTTCTTAGGGAGCAGTTAAGTAACTCCCTCATTTACAATGAAAATTAGGAGACAAAAGCTTCCTTCCCATCTCAATACGAAATATAGCTTGCATTTGTGAAAAGGGACACTCTGGCATTCCCTCCCTTACCCAAACCTCAGTGCTCGGGGAGGAGAAAGATTCATTACCTTCCAATTCCAACCAAGCAGCTCGAAGCTTGCAGCTGCCCAATCCTTTTTGCAAACGATATCCCATCCCCACTATCTTCTTCCCACCCAACACTCTCATTTACAAAAAAAAGTACAGGGATAAAAGCCTTCCCATCCAAGTAAGAAAAGAAACACCCTCATCCCCCCCCCCCGCCACCTTCGGAAGGAGAGAGAAATACTGTCTTGTTTGGAAGGCTGCTTGTTTGGAAGCAGAAATCTGGTGCCTGGCTGGCAGATAGAGAGCCAGCCACTCACTCGCCCACTGGCCAGCCCAACTTAATATTTGTAAAATTTGGTAAGAGCAGCTAAAACGGGGGACGACAAAGTGTCATAGGGAGGGGGGGGGATTGCAAATCTTTCCTAACCGCTGGTTTCCTGGGCAAGTTGTAAAGGAGCTAGCCTGCTCCTGTTTCCCCCGAGGCACCCCTCCTGACTCTGGGGCTGCAGCGGTACTTGGAGGGAGACATGTGGGCCCACGAAGACAACGTGTGTGGGGAGGAAGCAGACGGTGGAAAGCAGGAGGGAGGGCACGGGGGAAGGGTGAGTGTGGCTATTGGAATGGCAGTGGAGAGGAGGAGCCTTGCTCCCAGGGGAGCCAGGCAAAGTGCAAAGAGCTTCAGCTGGTGAGTGGAGGCTCCCTGGCCCCCTCCTCTCCCCCCCCCAGCCCACTGCAGAAGCGGAGTCCCTCCATGTCCCAGTCCCCCTCACTCACTGTAACCCGACCTGCCCAGACCCAGCAGGGGGTCGACGCGTCCACCCAGCAGTAGCAGGAGCCCCACGCTGGAGCCTCGCTGTGCCCTTGGAGCACCAGGAGAGACGTGGGCAGGGAAACCGCCCGAGGCCGGGAGGGTATGCCTGCATTAGGAGGGCTGGGGAGGGAAAGTGAAAGTGGTTTTTGGGAAGGGGAGGAGCCCCTCGCTGGAGCCTCGCTGTGCCCTTGGAGCACCAGGAGAGACGTGGGCAGGAAAACAGCCGGAGGCCGGCAGGGTATACCCGCATCAGGAGGGCTGGGTAGGGGAAGTGAAAGTGGTTTTTGGGGAGGGGAGGGGCGGCAGGCCAGCTGGCACCCCCTTCCAGGGGCCGCTGTAGGCAAATGCCTAATTGTGTCTATGGGTGGTCCGGCCGGGCGGGGCTCTCTGCAGGCTTCTGCCCGGGCCGCAGGCTTCTGCCCGGGCCCAGGGATCAGCGGCGGGGCCTCTCCGGAGCCAGTGCTTCACGCAAAGAGCAGGGGGCGGGGCTTGCCGCCACCACCATTTGCGCGGCTCCAGTGGGCTCCGGGGCCAAAAGACCCCTGCTGCTCCTCCTCCTCCTCGCACGCGCCCCTTTCCCTCCCATGCGGGCTGCGAGGCAGGAGTCTCTGGCAGCAGCGCAGCCCCGGGCGGCCGGATCCAGGCATGTCCAACAGTATTCGCTCGATAAGACGCACACACTTTCCCCCCCACTTTTTTGGGGGGGAAAAGTGCGTCTTATGGTCCGAAAAATACGGTATGTAACACATTTCTTTGTTAACATAGAATGAATACTGAAGCATTGTTTATAGAAGTTTCAGAGTCTTTACCCTAAGCAGCTTCACAGATTGTCAGATTTTCTGTCATGGCTTGTACCTTACTTCATTGTTGTCCGTTCTGTGGACCTGCTCTTGCGTCTAAGCTGCTTACAGAACTGTGAGGAGGCAGAAGAGTGTGGGAAGCTTTGCCTTCTAGTTCTAATTATCAGAGTCTGAGGAATCTTAGGAAGCCTCTTCCCTGGTAATGCTGAAAGGTCTGAGGGCTCTGGGGAAGGGGGGAGCAAGGTTAGGAGCTTGGTCTGACTCCGGTTGGGTGTCATGCCTTACGTTTTCCTCTCTCTTGCTGCCCTCTTCTTGCTGGTTGCCAAGGACCTTCAGAATGCCAAGATAAAGAGGCAGGTTTCCTGTTTTCATTTCTGGTACTTCCCCTTCTTGTCATGAAGACTATGGAGCTACTGTCATGTCCTCACAGAGGTTTTTCACAGGAGCTTCCTCATAGTCACTTTCAGAAAATCACCCCTCAACCAGCAATGACAAAGTGTGAATAGACATTCTTGGGTATTTTTCAATGGCTTCTTATGAAGGAGAAGTGGGATGTACATATTTAAAGTAAACGTGTTTTGAGGAGAGACATCTTTATAAGGTTTTCTTTTATGTTCTTCTTCCAGGATTGGGAGTTTCCACATTTTATGGGTGATGTTGATGTAAATCTTCCTGGCTTGCCAGCTGCACATTTTCAGTTTAGATTGCCATATTTCAAAAAGATCTTTAAGGAGGAGTATCACATACATATAACAGGTAAGTAGCATTCCATTCCTTTTCTTAAACCCATGAAGAATTTCTGACATGTAAACTTGTTTTCGTCATTCTTAATGTGAAGATGTGGCTTCCTTGAACATTCATTTTCCCAAAGTGACTTTTGATTATTAGATTGGTCACTCACAAGCTAAGCAGGAAAACAAATTTGCAGAGTTCTTGGGTCATCAGAATGATGCCTGGTTTAATTTTTACCTAATAGCATTCTGTAAGTTATACAGAATGAGATGGCTGAATTCTGGACTGTACACCATCCAGATGCAGTTTGGGAGATATATTTTTGGGATATTCTCTCCCCATTAAAATCTTCCAGAATGTAGTAATCAATCATATGTATTTGTTTATGTGTATTGTTTATTTATTTGGCTTTTATATCTCATTTTTCTCTGAAAACCTCTCATGCATGCCACAAAATCAGTACATGCATAGAACTACTATGCGAGAATGAGGATTAGGCAGGAATCCTTCTTTTGGACATCTTGATGTTTTTATGGTTAAAATGGTTCCCCAACCTTTTTGAGCCTGCGGGCACATTTGGAATTCTGACACAGCATGGTGGGCACAGCAAAAAAATGGCTACCACAGGAGGCAGAGGCAGCCACATAATGATTGCCACAACTTTACTTCAGTAGCACAGTGTATATCCATGTGCTATGGTGGCAGCTGCGGCCAAAGCAACATTAAAAAGCCCTACCTGACCTCATCCATTTCCTAAAAACACTTGGCAAGCACCAGAAAAGATGTTGGCAAGCATGACATTGGGGACCCCTGCCATGGAGGAATGATCTAGAATGATATAGTCTAGGAACATTTTTACCACCACGCCCCCTGTTTGTGTCATTGTGGAGGTCTTGCATAACAGTTCTAACTTTTTATTCTTTAGGATTTAGGCATTACATCATTTGCAGATGTGTTGAGCTTTCCTAGGATTCCTTCCACCTCCAATTATTTGTTCTGATGTAGAACAGACCACTTAAAACGTAGAGCAACTTTTTAACCACCAGAAGCTGAATGAAAGATGTAGGTGATCTTGAATACACATCCACAACCAGCAGGAGCATTCTGCCCTGAAATGGGCCAGCAAAATCGATGTGGATGCAGGACCATGGACCCCGCGGCTTTTCCCATGGATGGACAGGGACCGAGGGAGCTTCCGGTCTTGACTCCTGACAGGGCTGGCACATTCGGACCCATCCTTCGGCCTGTTGATCAAGCTGCGGCCACCAGACATAGCTCCTTGCTATCGCCTTCATTTTTACGATGCCAGGGTGCCCCATATGCAGGGCTTTCAGAACCTGCTATCTCAATTGGGGAGGAACCACGACCCTACTCCCCCACAGGAGGCATCTTTTGCTCACTGACAATTCCACTGATCGCAACTGGAATGGCTGGAACTCAGCCTTGAGCTTCCCGTGTGGCCAACCCCTCCACACGTACTTGAGAACACGGCTGAGCAGGCAGTCCCAGGTGGTGTAGAAGGTGATGTCGGGCACTGTGAGTGGAGGCTGCGGAAGTTCTTCAATGAGGAGTGCTTCCTGGATTGGGGCACCATGCTGTTCAGGCAAGGGTAGGCGGCTGAGGGCATCGGCATGCCCGATGGCTTTTCCAGGCCTGTGGACAAGGTTGAAGTCATAGGCGAAGAGGAGAACAGCCCACTCCATCATTCATGGTGATAGAATCTGGGGTGTTTGGCGATCCTTTGTGAAAATGCCAAGCAGCGGTTTGTGGTCGGTGACAATGTTGAATTCACAACCGTAGATGAAGTCGTGAAACTTCTTCACTGCTGTGATTATGGCCTGCACCTCCCGGTCTGTGTGGGCATAGTTCCTCTCCACTGCAGATAGAGTCCTGGAATAGAACACGATGGGGGCCTCACAGCCGGTGGGCAGCCTGTGGCTGAGGACTGCCCCGATCCCATAGAGCGACACATTGCAGGCCAAAACAAGAGGCTTCTTCTCGTTATAGTAGACAAGAACTCTGTTAGAGACCAGAAGAGCTTTGATGGCTTGGAACGCAGTTTGCTTCTTGCGACCCCAAGCCCACGGAGCCGTTTTGTCCAAGAGCTGATGCAGAGGCTCAGTGACAGCTGCTTTTCCTGGTAGGAAAGATTGAGAAAAATCCAAAGAAGGACTGTAACTCCTTCTTTGATTTTGGTGGGGGTGCCTTGCGGATTGCGGCAACCTTATCCAGCACAGGATGGATGCCATCTTTGTCCAGGAGGAACCCCAGGAATTTGACTGCGGGGATGAAGAATTCACACTTCTCCCTTTTTACTCGTAGGCCAGCGTCCAGCGTCCTGGACAGTCAGTTCCAGATCCAAGGCTCCCGCTATCAGCACATCGTCAAAATATGGAATGATGCCTGGTACACCCTTAAGAAGATGCTCCATCAGGTATTGGAAGATTCCGGGAGCAACACTTACGCCGAACTGCAAGCGGTTGACCTTGAAGGCACCTCAATGCGTCATGATTATCTAAGCCTCGGCTGTAGCTGTATCGACAGGTAATTGTTGGTAAGCTTGTGCCAAATCGATTTTGGCGAACACCCAGCCCCCAGAGATAGACGCTAGAAGATGGCTCACCACAGGAACTGGGTATATGTGCGGCTGCAGAGCCTTGTTGAGGGTGCACTTGTAGTCCGTGCACAAGGTAATCAAGCTGTTTCATTTCCTGGGGGTGACGATCGGGGTCTCCCACTTGGCATTGGGAACTGGCTCCAGTATACCTTGAGCTAACAGCTTGTCGATTTCTTCGTTGAGACTTGATAGCAAAGGGCATTCACTGTGGTTTGAGATGTATGGGTTGAACTGCAGGATTCAGATTAAAGGAAATTGGTGGCCCTTCATAACAGCCTAGTTTTGAGCTGAAGACATCAGGGAACTCTTCTACAAAATTGGCAGCTCCCGACTGACTGACGTTGTTGACTCCGCTAATTTCAATACCGAGGGTGGCAAACCAGTCCAGACAATAAGACTTGTGTGGCGACCTTCAACGATGAGCGAATTAAGACGACCATTGAATTTCTTGTACTTGACTTGTACGGAGGCGATACCAATGACAGGAACTCGGTTCCTTTAGAAATCAAAAAGCTGCAGACTGCACTTCTGGAGACGCCATGCAGAGAACCTGGGACAGACTTGTTGAAAAGTGTTCCACGAGACAATTGACAGTGTGGAGCCAGAATCGACCTCCATCTGGCAAATGCGACCCTCAAGGAAGACAGTAACTTTGATCTTGGGACAAGTGTGAAGACCTTGGTGTATGTATAGGTGATTGGTGTAGTCTTCTGACACTCTTGCTTCATTGTTGAATTTAAACCGTCAATTGAACGAATGAGAGGATGAGAAATGAGATGAGTGGCGAGACTTACTAGAAGATCTTCCTGGACGACAGAAAACTTCAGGTATAGAACGACTTTGCAATGATCGGCAATCCTTAGTGATGTGGCCCGTTTTCCCACAAAAATGACAACTAGCATTGCAGAATTCTGGTTGGCTCCCGTTCTGTGGACTCCGTCATCAGACGATTTCGATTTGTCGTCTCTGGAATCAGACGAGTCTGTGGTAACACCGTGGTGAACAGTGTCGGTGCGGCATGACGTGTGACTGAGCACTCAAACGCAGTTGCGAAGAGAAATGTTGGCGGCCTCCACTCTCAGCGCTTCTTCAAGTGCCGATTCATAAGTGAGTTCTTTTTGTAAAAGAAGTGCTTGCCTGATGCTGTCATCTCTAAGGCCATAGAGCAAATGATCCATCAGGACTGACTTTAAATTCGGGAACTTGCATTCATAAGCAGCCCTTCTCAATGCGGCAACGTATTCCGTGACAGACTCGTTCTCTTTCTGGCTTCATTGGTGGAAAGTAGATTGGTGTACGGCAGCAGACATCTTAGGCGTGAAATTGCTGTTGTCATTCCTTAATGACGTTGAGGGCTGTCTCCAGTAATTTAGACAGCGCTACTATGTCCCAAGCAATGTCGAATACAGCCTGTCCGCATGTACTCAAAAAGGTGGCATGGCAGACATCGTCTCCTTCAATACCATTTGCTATACGGAAGCATTCAAAATGGTCGAGGTAGGATTCCCAGTTCCCAACCTTGGGGTCGAACGGTTTGATATGGCCCTTAGATGCCATGCCCATAGTGATTTAGCTCTAGGCGCCCTCAGTTATTTCAGTCTGGGCAGGCAGAGAGTGACTTCCCTGTTTGGTTAAGCCTGGTATCCCATCCTCGTCGCCAGTTTTAAGTATTCACAGGCAGGACACGATGATCGAGGCTTTTATTCATAACATTGCTCAGCTCAGCTCTGCTCTGCTCTGCTCTGATAAGAGCGGCACCCAAACTTATACCATTCCAGTACTGAACTGTATACAATGTCGCTACTTCCATGAGCTCTGATTAGACCTAAACTGAGCCTCCTGATTGGGTACACTGTCTGGCTTCAGAACCACTAGAAGGTCTTTATTAGGTGGCCAATCATAATGGAGGAATTAGAATGCTTCAGCACAAACCATAACACAACAGCTTAAGCATAACTCAGAACATAACAACCTCAAAACAGGGAAGGGAAGCTGGGAGCCCTGACCCTCCTAGTAGGCAGTCCCTTACAGTCCCTTGCAAAGATTAGGTGGTGGCGCTGAGCTATCTGAAAGAAAAGCCTCTCTAGGTGTTGGGAAAAACCTAGGAGGGCAAGGCAGAATAGGGCCTGCAGGCCAGAGCAGGCACGTTCTGCCACAATTTGGTGGCATGGTGGGATAAGGACAAGCAGAGACCTTGATTGGCCAGGAATTGTTATTTCACAAGCACACATACACACACAGAGCAATGGAAGTTTTGTGGGGGGGGGGTCAGGTCAACTGGAGTAGGATCAGATTAGACTAGCTAGGATGGAGTTAGCATAAAAGCTTATACCTTGAAAAAAAACTTTGTTGGTCTTAACGGTGCCACTGGACTCAAACTTTGTTCTGCAGCTTTAGACCAACACGG